CTACGTTGCAACTGACTGACTGACTGACCATCTTGTCAAAATGAAGAAGCAGCTCGATTTACTCTTCGTGTATCCGGTAGCCCCGATGCTGCTTCCAGGGGTCTTGCTGGCGTAGGCATAGCATTAAGTCGTAGAGCTGAACAATCTCTCCTTGACTGGATCCCAGTAGATAGTCGCTTGTGCGCTGTCCGACTAAACGGGACAGTAAGGACTTGGAAAGATAGGGACACTCGCCGTTGTCTCTTCGTCGTATCCGCCTATACCCCCACTGACAGCAGTTCAGACGAGGTTAAAGATGAGTTTTACAGAAAGCTTTCGGATCTCCTCCAAAAAGCTAGGCTCTCTGATATAGTATTAATGGCTGGTGACTTTGATGCTCAAGTAGGTAGACTGAGTGAAAATGAAAGACACTTAGGTGGATGTTATGGTGTCGCGGCTCAGAGAACAGACAATGGTGACCGTCTGTTGCAAGTATGCTCAGACAACCGCCTATTCTTAGTAAACACTAACTTTAGCCATAAGGAAAAGCATCTGTTGACCTGGCGACCTCCAAAGTCGTCTCAACGTTGGACTCAACTAGATTACTAGATCAGCCACTGATGGAGGGGTTCGATAGAGGACTGTCGCTCGTTCTGGAGCACATGTTAAGATTCAGATCATGCCCTAGTGCGAGCGCGTATTTGTTTGAGGCTTACTGGACGTAGGAAAGACACCGTAAGAAAGCCTCTTAGGGTTTTACTTAATGATAATAGGGCGAAAAATATATTTCAGGAACAACTAGAAAGACAGTTAGGCGACCATTTAAGCGATTCCCATCCGGAGGCAGGTTGGAATGATATCAAAAAGGCTGTGGAAACAGCAGTGATATCTGCTAGTAAGGTGAACCACAAGGCTAGAATGAAGCCGTGGATCTCAGTAGCATCCACCGATCTGACGGATGCCCGAAAACTCATCCCAACTGGCTCTAAACATGATGAAGAACGAAGTCAACTTAGGCGCAGACTGATAAAAAGCCTGCGCAACGACTGTGAACAGTGGTGGGTGGCGAAAGCAAAAGCGATGGAAAAGGCAGCGGCGACAGGCAACAGTAGGCAACTATTTAGACTCATCAAGGAAACTGGTATTAGGAACCCAAGTGTGAGTGAGACTATTTCGGAAAAGGATGGTCTTATTATCCATTCTCAATCCAGGTGTTTGGATCGACGGACAGGACACTTCAGGGATCAGTTCAATTGGCCTCGAGCCACTCTTCGGTTACCCACAATCTCCAGTCATCCTGAATGTAATTCGACATAAGCCCTCCGAACCTTTATGAAGTTGAAAAGGCTATAGGAAATCTGAAGCGAGAGAGAGCAGCAGGACCCGATAGATTGACTCCTGAGATATTTAAGGATGGTGGTCCAGTTTTAGCAACTAGGTTGACCGAGATCTTAGGTAGAATCTGGGAACTGGACGTAATCCCATCCGACTGGTCTCAATCACTGATTGTCCCAATTTACAAGAAAGGACAGAAGTCTTCTTGTGACAATCACAGGGGAATAAGTCTAACTAATATAGTATCTAAAATACTGGCCTCAATAATACTTCGACGCTTAACGAAAGCTCGTGAAGAGCAGACTAGAGAAAACCAGTCCGGTTTTCGACCTGGACCTGGCTGTGTAGACCACGTCTTCACACTCAGACAGGTCCTGGACCATAGACACACATTTAGGCGTCCTACAATAGTTGTTTTCCCAGACCTTAAGGTGGCATTTGACTCAGTGGATCGTAAGGTTCTGTGGCAGTGTCTGTCATTGAAAGGTGTACCAAAGAAGTACATTAACCTTATACAAGCTCTCTACTCGAACACCACTGGTCGAGTGAGAGCTAAAGGCAAACTGTCAACGGAATTCTTTACTTCAAGTGGTGTCCGTCAGGGATGTCCACTCCATTTTTGTTTAATTTTATCAGAGAAATGCTTTTAGAAATAACTTTATCCTCGTCTGAAGTTTCAGGAGTAAACCTTCTATCAGGTGGCTCGCTTATTGACTTAGAATATGCCGATGACATAGTCCTACTTGGTGAAGACGCTGACAAAATGCAGAGTCTTCTGACTACCCTAAGCAACATTGCAAGCATGTTCGGGATGCGATTCTCCCCGTCGAAATGCAAAATGTTGCTTCAAGACTGGGTTTTATCGGTACCTGAACTAGCGATAGGGAGTGAAGTAGTCGAACGTGTAGACCGCTTCACTTATCTTGGGAGTCTCATCAGTGCTGATGGCCTGGTGACTGACGAAACCTCTGCACGGATACAGAAGGCTCGACTGGCTTTTGCCAAATTGCTTCACTAATGGCGTAGACGAGATATCCGTTTGCTGACTAAAGGACGAGTGTACTGCGCAGTAGTTCGCTCCGTCCTACTTTATGGCTGTGAAACATGGCCAGTGAGAGAAGATATTCGTAGGTTACTGGTTTTCGATCATAGGTGTCTTCGAAGCATTGCTCGTATATCGTGGGACAACCGAGTAAGCAATATTGTCGTGAGGAAACGAGTACTATGTATGGATGGCAAATCATTCGATGAGGTGGTGAAACTTCATCAGTTGAGGTGGTTGGGACATGTGCTGCGTATGCCCAACCACCGACTGCCTCGTCGAGCTTTGTTTTGTAGTGTAGGAATAGGTTGGAAGAAAGTTAGGGGCGGCCAAACCAAAACATGGCAGAAATCCATGAAGTCATTGACGAGTGGACTTAGCCATGTTGGTAATTGTCGACTACCTGGTTGGGGTCCGCGAGATGATAATAATCGATGGTTAGAGACCTTGAATGACATGGCTCAAAATCGTTCGCAATGGCGCCAGTGCATTTATTCTTTGTGTTCTCTCAAATCCTAATCTTCTGGATTCGACAACACCTCTGGTTTTGACCTTCTAAACTTTTCTCACTGAATCATACTTCCTGAATAATATCTTCTAATCCTAACCTCTCCGACTATTGCTAATACCTTTACTACCGCTACTACTGTTGGATTTGAATTGACAATTACATCTCTGTGCTGATGTGGTATAGCAACATGAACTGATGTACTTACGTACGAAGTTCTACGTTGCATCTGACTGACTGACTAACTGATATATATATATATATATATATATATATATATATATATATATATATATATATTGATCACTCGGATTTTCAAGTGTAAAATACTTGCGATAGATAAGGAAAGATTTTAAGATCATTTACCACTTATTTCAAGTTGAGAGACACTTCTTCTTGAGGTACCTGAAAATGAAACTGAACAGTAGTCATGATCACCCACCAATGTGACTGCAGCACCCATGAGACAAACTGCTTACGACCTGTCACACACGTAATTTATGTAAGTAGTTTCCGATATACTAGCTTTGTACTTTTAAGGCCTTGACGTCAGCGACAGAAATCTATGGGCTGGAATGAGATGTTCTGTTTTCAGGATGTGCCTTTTCTAAACCGCTTCTTCTATAGTAGGAAGCGAACAGTGTTGGAGACGCCTATTGTCCGAGGTAAACATCTTACCGCTGTCATATTTCAATAGCCAACAGTACTACAACGTTATCGTTGCATCATGGAGTTTTCCTCTTTTAGTCTGATCATACTCCAACCAACTTGGCTCGTATGGTGGAAATTATAGGACCAAATGTTTCAGTCTATATGCCCCAGTCAGGTCATCATAATAAATGTAGCTGACACTAGTTCAAATAAGCAGAATTGGCCAATTATTTACACAATGCTTCAGACATATTCAACTTCGAACAAAAAACGATGCATAATCAATAAGGTACCAAATGAATACAGTTTGCTAAGGACCACCCGGTTCATATATATATATATATATATATATATATATATATATATATATATATATATATACGCGCGTAATAATGTTAGACTGAGTTCATGTGATAAGTATTATAAGAAAATTTGCTAGTCATGTGATAATAACTTGTAAAAACCTGATCAGTAAGAAAATCATATGATTACAATGTGTTTAAATTCATTTTCTTGTGCACAATACTAACAAATCTAAAGAACACCACAGTCGATATTTGATCATAAATTACAAAACCTTTGATAAACTATTTCGCATTATTTGTAATAATTAGCGGATGTCAGTTACAGAATAAAAATTAAAAATATAAAGACATTAGAGAAATAATAAATTGAATATAGCGCTATTTAGTATATACAATATTTCGTAATTTGGAATTAAAAGTTGATTTTTGTTGTACAACACTTAAAATCGGAAAGAACCATACACCAGTTTTGTCATCGTGACTGGTTTCAAGAAGCGATTCCTGGAATTTCGGTTACAAGTTATGACTAGTGAAATTCAACCATGTCGATTGTGAGGCATCATAAATTGATCAAGGTTAGAAACACAAACCACTAGATGAGCTACCTTAGTGGTGTCTAAAAATTAAGCACTTGTTGTGAGACCTGAAAGTTTTGGGTTCGATCCCCGATTGTGTTGCGGATGCATGATTTTAAGTAGCTGTTCATAGTTTCTTGGTTTTTAACAATTCTCTAAGACCAGTTCGTGATGTGAATTTTTGAAATTCAACTTTAGTACAACAAAAATGTAACGTTCTAACAGTATACAGTGTAATAGTAGAACAATTCAAGTAGCTAATTTATGATTGATTTAAAAAATTGTGAATGATAAATTTTCTTCTAGAATAACACATTTCTGAATTTACTCCAGTGACAGTCATAAGCAACAGACTACATAAATTTACGATAGCGGTTATTGAACTTTTGTGCAAAATTCAGAACAAGATGACAGATAGCTTGTACTTTATTAAAAGTTGAGTAAAAGCTGCATTCTAACCTTAAACTTATATTAGTTTTATAAGGCAAATTGTTCTTTTATTTTATGGGTGAAATCTCATCAACTAACTTTACAGTCAATTAACGTCATCCCTTTGCTAACATCCAAAGTTAAACCTTTAAAAAAGGATAAACAGAATTGCTAACCTGGCCATTTGTCATCTTCGGTAAGATTTAAATCTTCGGAGGTTTCATCAGCATTGTTAGTATACCGAGTAGATTGATTTGATATTGTTTGTTTCACAGTTGATACAGATTCAACTCGTTCATTAAGTTTTCTTCGACGAAATTCAGTTGAATCTAATAACCAAACACGATAATAATATCTTGACCAAAAATCAGCATCACTTATAGATTTATCATTAATTTTACCATCGGGATGAACAAGTTGAGTTAAATATGTTCGCATAAAAGGATATGAATCTAATAATTCCGCAGGACTTGGATGTGGTGGTTGAGTAAGTTCTTCAATTGGGACATTATTATATTCAGGATTTTTAGCATCTGCTAATGGTATACCATTCATTGGTTGACAATTATCTTCGTCAAAATATGCTAGCCTCCAGTCACGATATGAATGTATCCCAGAAGATGTTGGAGGTGTTGGTGGTTCCAGTTCATATGTGGCAGGATCTGCTCGAAGTACATCGAGACGAGTCTGAAGCAAAAAAAAAAAAAATAAACCGATCAGTTACATAAAAATGTTTAATATAAAAAATAATACATCTGAGTGTTTGAAATGGTTATATTGATATGCATTTTGTGTATGTTTACAAAATTGTACATCTATGTGACATTTTAAACACAAACATTAATTTTAAATCTACGAAACTATCAACCGAATTTCATTATGGAGTATAATGTTTTATCTAGAATTATTATAGATTGGTTATGTTAACTGAACGAAATCGGATTTACTAATAAAGTCAGTCGGTCAATTAGTCAATCAGTAACAAAGTGGAACTTGGTGCAGATGCGTACATCATATCAAATTGTTATATTATATTAACACAGAGAAAGATGAGATTATCAGTTAGAGTTCCATAGTCGTAGAATACTTAACATTGACAAATCTTGCCAAAGAATTCCTTTTGTAAGAAGCATTCAGTAATAATATTATTTATATGCATTTTCTACTAATACAAAATAAATAATTGTGTATATCATGTGAATAAATGTTATATTAATAAGGTAATAAGATAGATATCGATTATTATTATTATAATAATAATTAGTTAATTCAGTTGATATATTTAAAACTAATTATATATGCGTCAAAATGTAAAGACATATTACTTGGAAGATGTAGACTGAATAATACTAATCTATATTTACTGTTATAGTTGCATCGACTCTTTGGTTAGATCAAGAACAAACGTTTACAGTAATTTATTAACGACTACATTAGCAGACATGTGATTTTTTTTAACTAGTTCACGCACATGAATATTTTATTGTGGCATATGTTCTATAAAATTGGGAGTATAAATTAGTTGGGATGATTTTATCTTGATTGATATTTGCACCATATGAAGTGGAATAAAAGATTTATAAAAAATGATCACACGATTCAAGGGAAAGGTGCTTAGGATAGGATAGACTACAAAAGACTTCCTAATGAGTGATTCTTGCTGTGCTAGCTCCACACTTTATAAACCTTATTACCGGCCATGGAAATACACTGGTAAAGGTTGGTGTACTGTTGTAAAGGTCGACATCTTAATCACTTTTTCTGACTGTCGAAAAACAACATGACTAGAGATGCTGATTATTTGCAAGAAACTCTAAGATATCATCATACTCTAATATCAATTGAAAATAACAAAAAATAAGGATATATAAATCTCGTGGTACTTTAGTGTGTACAGGTATTAGAGGTGGTTTATCTGATAGTAAATGCACGAAGGTCTCAGACTAAAGTTTAGAAAAACTTTGAAAAGCTTACATAGTTTTGAAAGGTGTTTATAAAGATAACGCAATAAATAAAACAGATTTTTCAAGCCGATTAAGCTCCGATTGATAAAACGATGTAGCATCAAAACAATCATCGATTTTCTATGGTCTTTTGTACTTTTTGATTGGTGATGAATTGAATTTTGGAAAATTATGTGTGCAGGCAATTCTAGCAAAACATGGAACGACAAAAAAGTCGAAGAGTGATTTCTGTGAACGTCTAAAGATGGAGATAGGGTAAGTATTTTGTAGGGGATAGGACTGATAACCTTATGAAGGTTATAACCTTAATTTATGAGTTTATTAGACGTTTCACGAATTACCGATAATTCGATTGACCGGATCAATTAAACTATGTCCCTAAAACAGTTTAAACTAAAATAAAAAAGATGGCTCCAAAAAAAGAATGGAATATTAACTTAACGTAGGAATGTTTACAATCAGTTACTAATGAATTGGCTCTTAACGTTGATAAAATTTTTGGCTCTCAAGTAATTATGATTGAGAACAAAAGAGAAGTAAACATACAACATTTGGAGTACACTACTGATTCTTGATCAAGACCATGTGAGATTCAACACATTTCGGGAAAAGTACTAAAGTAAAAACATATGAAATTGAACATGTAAACAAAAAGTAATTTTAATTTTGTTAAGGACGTGATATCTTATCTGAATTTTAACTAAAACGATGATAGCTATAATAAGAATAACAGTAATAGCAATAATAATAATAATAATAACAATAATAATAATAATAACTAACAAACCGGTTCCTCTTAAGTGATTTTGAACAAAATAAAAAGAATTTTTATAAAGAAAGATGCCGAGTAAATAGTACATACTTGATGTTTACTCTTATCTTTAGATTGATTTTCTCGAGGAGTTATTAGGCCGAAAAATGTGCCAGTCGACATTAAACCATTATAGAAAGAATCAACCAACTGGGATACATCTTGTTTAATATTTGAGAAACTAGGCAATTCTGGTGGTAAAGCTGTTAGGTCTAAAAAAAAGAGAAAAAAAAACTAACACATGGAATAAAGGGAAAAGATAGACACAAGAGAACAATGCTGTTGAAAATTAGAGAGAGATATTCCAGTTTTATTCACTACTTTTTAAATAAACTTCCTGTAACAGAGATGGTTATCTTTGATTAGTGAAGTATAGCTTTGAACAGACAGACGTTTCATTGTGGTTTTGGTGAAAGTTGAAAACCACACTAAAACACGAAGCAGAATTCCAAACTAATGCGGGAACATTGAAATAAACAGCATGAAGATGGGACAGTATTTAAAAAAAGTAAATCAACGGTAACAATAAGATTTTTGAGACCAATTCCAACTCATAATATATCATTCCTCACTGAATCTAACTGCCTTTACGAACCATAACCTAAGCAATTACTACATTTAAGGATTGAACCTTCTTTAGCCTCTGATTTTCAAATATCACAGTCATTCAGTCAGTATTAAGAATCAAGAAAGATAGGACACCGGTATTGGAATATGATCCGCTTCCCTAAAAAAGACTTTCTAAACATGCCACTGTGGAATTTTCACATGGTGTATGAAAAACTAGATCCAACTATTCAAAATCTTAATGTGGTTGGATTTCTCTTAATGCAACACCTAATTCTTTATAAACATACACGATTTGACTATCAAATCGCTTGGAGTGGTGGCTATGGTCAAAACGTTCAATTTTTAGCCAATAAGTAGCTGATTCGAATCCTGCTTCATCTATTTAAATTTGTGAAAGCGGATAATATTGATAACTTTCAAACTAATCGATGCCAGATAAGTCAGTCAATTTACAGCCGAATATCTATCGGTCATACACGTTACACTAATGTTACTAGGAATGCTATTATTCTCTAGTCAAGATTTTGATAAAAAAATATCAATTTACTGGGAACAGTTCGTTTAAAATAAGAAAACTGTTTGATATCTATTGAATAACTATTACGCATTCGCAATTACAATGTAGATTACAAACTAAAATATATCAGTCAGTAAGAAAAGTAAGTGAACCCTAAAAATTTGTACTTCATTATAAATATTTTATAATTCTACACTGAATTTGAAGTCACTGTAAACAAAAGTAACTATTGTTTAGTACAACCCTATGATCAATTCTATTCTCTACTGGAGTTTAAAATAATGTTTTCATAATCTTGAACAACAATCAATTATACAAAACTCGATTTTAATCAAAGTAATTCGGTAACACAAAGTTTTAATTTTACTCTTTTTCTCACCATCATCAACAACATTTGCAGTGTTCGTAAGTTGTTGATCAGTTTTCGTCTCATTGTCAGGCAATAAAAATTCATTCGGATTTAAATTTTTTACTGTATTTGCAGCAGCTGTGATACGATCACGAACTGATGAAGCAGTACGATAGACAGCATCTTTCGGTTCTGAGACAGAATGAACAACTTCATTAAAATCTTTTTTAATCAGTTCCCAAACCTTGAATAAAAATAATATAAATAGAAAATAGAGTTGATAAGAGACAATCATTAATGGATCGAGTTGTCAAGAATAAATTCATTAAGCATAATTATTTTAAGAAATCAATTCATTTAACTAGCATCGATTTATTGATGATATGTAATTCGCAAATAAATATAAATAACATTAATTATTCACACATCAGGCCTCTCTGTAAATAAATCAATTTCTTAGTATGAAAACAATACGTTTTGCAATGTTGCATAAACCAAAAAATCTGTATTTCAGAAGTAATAAACACAGATAAAGAAAGAAAGAAGTATGCTGATTTTTCCTTGCTTTTAATTTTTAAACAATCAAAGACAAATTTTAGCAATTGTGAAGGGTAACTATGCATTGGTACTTTTCTTGTGACAAATTATAAAATTTGACCATTGCAATACAGTACGGAAGCATAGAGCTGTTTGATACACAGGTAAATGTGATAAGACTGAAGAAAATGAAATGAGCGAAGAAACACGAATTCCCCTTCATAAAACCTTATCGGGTGAATTATCTATAGAGAAATAGAGAAGTGAATCTATAAAGTATGTGATAGAAGTGTTTGCTTCACACTGTTAAACACGATATAAACTGAAAATAAAATGGATTTGAAGAGTCAATCAATAAGATTCATAAAATGGAACAATAAGAAAAAAAGACTTTACGTTGTCGGTTTAAAAAGATAAGACCAGTTCGTCAGTCAGATGCAACGTAGAACTTCGTACGTAAGTACATCAGTTCATGTTGCCATACCACATCAGCACATAGAAGTAATCGTCAATTCAAATCCAATAGTAGAAGAGATAGTAAGGGAATTAGAAGTAGTCGGAGAGGTTAAGAAGATACTATTCAAGAAGTATGATTCAGTGAGAAAAGTTTAGAGAGTCGAAACTAGAGGGGTTGAAGAATCCAGAAGATTAGCATTTGAGAGAAAACAAAGAATAAATGCACTGGCGCCATTGCGAACGATTTTCGGCCATGTCATTCAAGGTCTCTAACCATCGATTATTATCATCTCGCGGACCCCAACCAGGTAGTCGACAATTACCAACATGGCTAAGTCCACTCGTCAATGACTTCATGGATTTATGCCATGTTTTGGTCTGGCCGCCCCTAACTTTCTTCCAACCTACGCCTACACTACAAAACAAGGCTCGACGAGGCAGTCGGTGGTTGGGCATACGTAACACTTGTCCCGACCACCTCAACTGGTGAAGTTTCAATACTTCATCTATTGATCTGCCATTCTTACATAGCACCCGATTCCTAATAACAGCGTTGCTCACTCGGTTGTCCCAGGATAAACGAGTAATGCTTCGAAGACACCTATGGTCGAAAACCAGTAACCTACGAATATCTTCTACTCTGACTGGCCATGTTTCACAGCCATAAAGTAGGACGGAGCGAACTACTGAGCAGTACACTTGTCCTTTGGTCAGCAAACGGATATCTCGTCTACACCATAAGTGACGCAGGTTGGCAAAAGCCAATCGAGCCTTCTGTATCCGGGCTGAGATTTCGTCAGTCACCAGGCCATCAGCACTGATGAGACTCCCAAGATAAGTGAAGCAGTCTACACGTTCGACTACTTCACTCCCTATCACTAGTTCAGGTACCGATAAAACCCACTCTTGAAGCAACATTTTGCATTTCGACGGGGAGAATCGCATCCCGAACATGCTTGCATTGTTGCTTAGGGTAGTCAGAAGACTCTGCATTTTGTCAGTGTCTTCACCAAGTAGGACAATGTCATCGGCATATTCTAAGTCAATAAGCGAGCCACCTGATAGAAGGTTTACTCCTGAAACTTCAGACGAGGATAATGTTATTTCTAGGAGCATGTCTATGATAAAATTAAACAAAAATGGAGAAAGTGGACATCCCTGACGGACACCACTTGATGTAGAGAATTCCGGTGACAGTTCGCCATAAGCTCTCACTCGACCAGTGGTGTTCGAGTAAAGAGCGTGTATAAGGTTATTGCACTTCTTTGGTACATCTTTCAATGACAGACACTGCCACAGAACCTTACGATCCACTGAGTCAAATGCCGCCTTAAGGTCTGGGAAAACAACTATTGTAGGACGCCTAAATGTGTGTCTATGGTCCAGGACCTGTCTGAGTGTGAAGACGTGGTCTACACAGCCACGTCCAGGTCGAAAACCGGACTGGTTTTCTCGAGTCTGCTCTTCACGAGCTTTCGTTAAGCGTCGAAGTATTATTGAGGCCAGTATTTTAGATACTATATTAGTTAGACTTATTCCCCTGTGATTGTCACAAGAAGACTTTTGTCCTTTCTTATAGATTGGGACAATCAAGGTTTAAGACCAGTCGGATGGGATTGCGTCCAGTTCCCAGATTCTACCTTAGATCTCAGTCAACCTAGCAGATAAAACTGGACCACCATCCTTAAATATCTCAGGGGTCAGTCTATCAGGACCTGCAGCTCGCCCTCGCCTCAGATTTCCTAACGCTTTCTCAACGTCATTAAGACTAGGGGGACTTAGGTCGATTTGCCCTTCAGGATGACTGGAGATCGTGGGTAACCGAAGAGTGGCTCGTGGCCAGTTGAACTGATCCTTAAAGTGTTCTGCCCATCGATCCAGTCTCCTGGATTGAGACCAGTTCGTAATTTTTATTGTATTCACTGGTAGTCATCATCAATAGCGCGAAGGCTGTAGTTATTCGGCAAATGTCGCGAAGGGAGGCAGCTTGCCACGAAAACACGCCACTCTCCTGAGCTCTAGATACAAAGGTCTAGCTCGCAAGGAAGTGGAGTATAGTTAGGACATTCAAAGTCATGATAACTGGAGTAAGTTTACATTATCATTAGTTTCCTCAGAATCTTGGAACCAATTTACATCACCGGTTCGGAACCAGCGTTTGCCTAATTTGCACTATTTATTTCCTTTAGACACAGTTTAAGAGCTATAATTAGTGTGAAGACCTTATCACGAGAAGGCATCGGGAAACTTCTTTGAAAGAGGCTATAAACGTGCAGTCGATTAAAAGGATTTCGAAAGTGTGTTTTCTGTTGAATCAGAAGTTCTGCTAGTGAAAAATCCTAAAGCTTTAATCAAAATTTGTTTTTTGAGCACGGACAACATTGTTGTTTGGTCTAAATTTCAATGATTATGGTGCGACTAGGATCTGCGACCAAGCGGCTGAGTCAGACGATGAAAGCACTGAGTTAGAACTCCAAAACACAATAAGAAGCATCGTGAAAGCTATGAAAATACTTTTTACTGCACTGGTAACATCATTTTGAAATGAATAGTATAATTAAATGTACGCATTGAGATTACTAGTTAACATGAATTAAGAAATCACAAGAGATCAGAGTAGATTCGTTTTACACAATCACCAATCAAATTTAGCTGTTAGTCTGGCATTACCAACATACAATCTGTATATGCTTAAATAGCTACATCCAAAGTAGGCACATAGAAAAAATCAATAAAATGAGAAGTATGGGACGGGACGGAAAGACAGTCAGTTAGCCATATGCAACGTGAGACGCTATACATGTATACACCCGTTCAAGTTACAAAAGCACATCAGAACAGAGAGATAAAGTTATCCAATTCCCAGAGTGGTAGTAGTAGTAGTAACGTTGAGATGGTGAAAATTCACATTTGAGAGTCGAAACTCCACCAAAGTTGTAACAGTATCAGAAGTAGCCGAAAATATTCGATGTTGAAAAAGGTATGAGTTTGAAATTCAAAAAATAATGGATTCTGAGTTAGGTTGATCAGTCTTTACACATCAGTTACGACATTTGTGCGGACTTCAACAATGTAATTTGTGTCCACATAAGTAGTTCAGTTAGGCAATAACCTTGTGGAGTAATACCGACTTCTGGTTTGGCTGCCCCCTTTCCTTCAGCCTACTCTTACAGCAAACAATCGCCTATCGAGGCAGGTTGTAATTGAGCATACGGCACGTACGGCACATACGTAGTCTGTTAAGCTCTTTGTTTTCTGATCGGTCTTAGAGTGCCAACTTTGAATGGGACAAGTTTCATTGCTATACGCGTTCGTAGAATAGCTAAATAAGGTGTCAAGTGAAGAGAAGGTTTGTGAAAAGTAAGCGTTTAATAACTCTTATTCTCAGCAAACTAGTGCTACCTCTTTACTATTTTCTTAGCTGAGAAAACGACTGGCATAGAATAAGTATATCCACCATCTAAACATCAAAACTAAGGTGAAGGCGAGGCTGATGCTTATGAACAAATGGGAAATATTTATACCTCAAATAACACGGTTTTCTAACAGTGTTTGCAGAAGTTCAGGGTCTTTCAAATGTTAGGAATAATGTTAACAAATCACAGACAGTGCTCACTGTGCTGTTGCATTTATTTAGAGAGTTACTTAGTAGGAAATAAACTATTCCTCGAAAACAGATCTACAGTTAAGTCTGATTGCATTTTCCAATCTACTTCAGTAACCTGATTGGAATTTAGTAATCGTTTATCTAATTGTTTTTTGTTTGTTCACTAATTTAACTAATTAGTATTATCATAACGCTTTTGAATGACATGGCTCAAAACCGTTTGCAATGGCGCCAGTGCATTTATTCTCTGTGTTGTCTCAAATCCTAATCTTCTGGGTTCTTCAACACCTCTAGTTTTGACTTTCTAAACTTATCTCACTGAATCATACTTCTTGAATAATATGTTCTAATCCTAACCTCTCCGATTACTTCTAATACCTTTACTACCTCTACTACTATTGGATTTGAATTGACAATTATATCTCTGTGCTGATATGGTATGGCAACATGAACTGATGTACTTACGTACGAAGTTCTACGTTGCATCTGACTGACTGACCTGATTGGTCTTCATCATTACTGTAAGGGTTGCCAATAAAATTATCTTTGACGAAATTATTCTTAAATAAATTCAGTGTATTCAACAAATAAAGTGTAAGTTTTGTGGCTTACGCTGATAAAGGTTTCTTCTACGGCAAATAATGTAGAGTCCATCATCCCACAACGCATATAACTTTACTATTATGCTACCTTGACTTACTTCACACAGGCATTTTTATTTGCAGATTTTAACTATGTTCACTTAGTTAATAATTATCAATTTAGAAGCTCTATCGTAAATGCTACACTTTGAAATGGTGTAACCACTGTCATTCCATACCCTTGAATGTACACGGCTGATACATCTAATTGTAAACTCAATCACAACAGTTCAGTCTTATGCAATCTACCGATTGAATCTGTAAGCCTAATCTCCCGACCGTAGCTGCTACCTTGACGTGGTGGTCGAGCCTGCCTATCGTGATGAACCGACCAAGCTATATTGACTGGAACATAAGTTCTTCTAGATTCTAACATGTCAGGTAGGTCAATTGGAGAACGATGAGTCTAAAAGCAGATACTCAAGGTCTGAGGGCGACGTCGTATTGCTGACTGCAGAGAGGTGTGACAGCAGCAAGGTGTTTCCCTCAGACGACCAGCATCTGCAGCGATGCTGCCTTCTCACAAGGAGTAAAAGGGTTAGAAAAGGTGGACCCTAAAGAAGGCACACCATACAATACATCATGGACTTACATATCCGGCGTTAAAACCTATTTAACACTTCAAAATCTCATAAAAAAGCCGTGCATGACTGGCCTCAAGCAGTTTTCCCTTCGGCTCTGCGGTCATGCTCTCAGGTCTCTAGGAGCGTCACTAATCTACCTTCCTTTTCAGGTCCCTCAAGATACAACCTTCCACGGTGTGGGCAGCGGGAAGTGACATCCACCATCATACCCATAACAGCACACGAGACCAAACTGGTCAAAATTGGTCAAAATCAAGTTCTTCCTACACCTCCTAATATCTCTCTTCTCTCCATAACTAACGCTTCGCACATTCATTTATCACCCTGTTCCTCAAACGCAAACCATGCGAGCTCACGAAATGTTATTCCTGGTCTCCTGAAACCCCGTTCTAAACTACATGTTGAAGCTTTCACTGTCCGAACATTGTGTTAAATAGGACAACAGGCTTCCTTAGCTAGAGCTTAGGAATCCCACGCTATCGATGTCTGCTCCGTCTCGGAAAAGTGCATACAAGATCCTAGTAAAATAATTATTTTAATTTCACCTTGTCAAAATAAAGAAGCACTGATTCTGCTTCTCGGAGTCTCGCTTGTGTAGGTATAGCATAGAATCCTAGAGCAGAACTAGCTCTCTTAAACTGAATACCAGTAGATAGACACTTGTGCGCTGTCCGACTGAACGGGACAGTAAGGATTCGGAAAGTTAGGGACACTTGCTGATGCCTCTTCGTCATATCTGCCTACGCTACCAATGACTGCAGTTCAGACGAAGTAAAACATGAGTTTTACAGAAAGCTTTCGGACCTTGAATAACATAGCTCAGAATTGGTTGTAATGGCGCAGGTGCATTCATTTATTGTGTTCTCTCAATTCCTAAGCTTCAGAATTCCTCATCATCTCTATCTTTCTCTTTCTAAAGTTATCTCACTGAACTATACTTCTCGAGTCATATCTTCGAACCCTAATCTTCTCGATTACTGCTAATACTTTTACTATCTCTACCACTATGAGATTTGAACTGACAGTTGCGTCTCTGTGCAGATGCGGTACGGCAACTCATGAACGAAGTTCTACGTCTAATTGACTGACTGTGCGCCATATCTATTTGTTGATATTGTTGATAGACTTCATCAACCGGATCATAAGTGTAAATCAGTGTGAACTCTGTAGTCGACGTCATAGGACGTTTAAACTAATGACTACGATTAATATTTACCGCAGTAAGAGTAATGAAATGGGAAATATTTCAGCAATGAATAAATATTCAAGTTTACATAAAAAAGAGTGCTGAGAATAATTTTACAAAACATATATCTAATTTTTAGTATCATAAACCTACACGTGAAGTTTTAGCTGAAAATCCATCCGTCCTATCTGAATTCATATCGTCAGTTATCAATGTGTTATCTTCTTGTGACACTGATACATCAGTATTTTCAGATCTAAATGATATAATATTAGATTGGAATAGAAATGAATTAGTCCAACATACACTTGAATCTTCGAAATATCTTTGGTTATAACTAATGATTTTTCAGATTCTTGACTGACTTGTTTTTCATGTTCCTCACTAGAATTTCTAGTGTACAGAAACAATACTTAGTAAAAATCTAACTTACATCCCCATAGATGCGAATGAGTTCACATAGTATAACATAGAATTCTAAAATGTGTAAAAATAATATGTTCATTATTAAATATTTATAAAAATAGACTAACGAAAAAGTTTTTAGACTCCACAACGGCAATGTATCATGTTAGTAGGAACAGAAAACATCTTGCTTAGTCTAATATCAGGTAATCACACATGGTGCAAGGAACTTGAACTTACAAGGCTCCACAAACTACTAGATCTTGGTGATGTTCCTCGCCCCTCTTTAAGGGTGAGCTTCTGGTTGTGGAAGCAGTATACCAAAATAAGGCGATAACCGTCATTTGTTTAAAAAGTTTTACAACACTTATGCGATAATCTTCAAGGAATAAGTCTGCTTTCGATCGCTTACAAATTACCGGTTTCCATCATACTTCACAGATTGATCAAAACCCTTTAAAGATTGACTTGAAGGGAACAGGCTGACTTCCATTCTGTTTGGTTACACATTTATCATACTCTTAAAAATTGCAAAATGTTAGAACACCGACATACATATTGCAGACCAACAACCACTGTTTCCTGACATCAGATAGGCATTTGCGTCGTTGTACAAGACTGTTGTTCAGGATTGTTTTCTGAATGAGGGAGTTCGTGAAGACCCCATATACAAATACCTTACATGAATGCACCTGCGACATTACAACCAATTCTGAGCTTTGTTATACAAAGTCTCTAACCATCGGTGACTTTGGTCTCGCGGACCCCAAACAGGCAGTCCACATCTACCGACATGACACAGTCCACTTGTCAGTGACTTCATAGATTTCTGCCATGTTTTGGTTTGGCCACCCCTAGCTTTCTTCCAACCTACTCCTACACCTCAAAACACAGCTGGACGAGGCACTCAGTGAGTAGTCATACGCATCACTTGTCCCAACCACCTCAACTGTTAAAGTTTCAATATTTCATCTATTGATCTGTCGTCCCTACCTAGTGCTCGTTTCCTAACTATACCATTGCTTATTCGGTTGTCCCAGGATAAACGAGCAATGCTTCGCAGAAACCTATGATCGAAAACCAGTAACCTACGAATATCTTCTACTCTGATTGGCCATGTTTCACAGCTATAAAGTAGGACGGAGCTAACTGCTGCGAAATACACTTGTCATTCAGTTGGCAAACGGATATCTCGTCTAGGCCATAAGAGACGCAAGTTGGCAAAAGCCAATTGAGCCTTCCGTATCTGTGCTGAGATTTCGTCACACACCAGACTATCAGCACTGGTGAGACTCCCAAAATAAGTGAAGTGATCGACACGCTCAACTGCTTCACTTCCTATCACTAGTTCAGATGCCAAGGCGGGTCAATCCTGAAGCAACACTTTGCATTTCGACGGGGAGAATCGCATCCCGAACATGCTTGCATTGTTGTTTAGGGTAGTCAGAAGACTGTGCATTTTGTCAGCATCTTGACCGAATAAAACTATGTCATCAGCATACTCCAAGTCAACAAGCGTGTCTCCTGGTCGAAGTTCCAATCCTGAAAAATCAGACGAAGGATAATTTTAACTCTAAAAACACATCTACGACAAAGTTTGATAAGAATGGAGAGAGTGGGGACATTTCTAACGGACACCACTTGAAGTAAAGAATTCTGATGACAGATCGTCATAAGCTCTCACCCGACCAGTAGTTTTAGAGTAGAGAGCTTGTATAAGGTTAGTGTACTTCTTTAGTACACGTTTCAATGACAGACACTGCGACAGAGCCTCACGATCCACTGAGTCAAATGCCGCCTTAAGGTCCTGGAAGATAACTATCGTCGGAAGCCTAAATGTGTGTTTGTGTTCCAGGACCTGTCGTAGTGTGAAGATGTGGTCTATGCAGCCACGTTCAGGTCGAGAACCAGCCTGGTTTTCTATAGTCTGCTCTTCACGAGCACTAGTTAGGCGTCGAAGTATTATTGAGGCCAACATTTTAGAAACTATATTAGTTAGACTTATTTCTCTGTAATTGTCACAAGAGAGCTTTTGTCCTTTCTTATAAACTGGAACAATCAGTGATTGAGACCAGTCAGATGGGTTTACACCCAGTTCCCAGATTCTACCTAAGATCTGAGTCAATCTAGCTGCTAAAACTGGGCCACCATCCTAAAACTATCAGGAGTAAACTTATCAGGACCCGCTGCTCTACCTCGTTTTAGATTTCCTATAACATTCTCAACTTCATAAAGATTCGGAGGACTTACATCGTTTGTGTTAAAATACATAAATGGATAATTATAAGGTAATCCGCCTTATTCGTGTGGATATCAAACTGTCTGAGTTCATAACAATTGTCTGTGCTCTGAGCCGCGACACCATAAGATCCACCCAGGTGTCTTTCATTTTCACTTACTCTACCTACTTGAGCATTAAAGTCACCAGCCATTATTACTATATCAGAGCGCCTAACGTTTTGGAGGAGGTCCGAAAGCTTTCTGTAAAACTCATGTTTCACTTCGTCTGAACTGCAGTCATTGGTAGCGTAGGCAGATATGACGAAGAGGCATCAGCAAGTGTCCCTATCTTTCCGAATCCTTACTGTCCCGTTCTTGAATAATATCTTCTAATCCTAACCTCTCCGACTATTGCTAATACCTTAACTACCGCTACTACTGTTGGATTTGAATTGACAATTACATCTCTGTGCTAATGTGTTATGGCAAAATGAACTGATGTACTTACGTACGAAGTTCTACGTTGCTTTTGATTGATTGATTAACGTCTTAGAAGATTAAGACTGCTTCTGATCGAAAAGTAAACATGAAGACCAGATAGATGTTAATCAGGGGACAATGAAATTAAATTTACGGTCATAATGTCTACTTGTCATCAGGTTACATTTTCGAAATACAAGAAACTAATTCCGTCCTACTTTATGGCATATGTTCTTTGGAACTTGAGTTATATTATAAAAGCGGAAGGATACAAAGATAAAAAGCAAAACATAAAGCATGTGTTTTTTCGTTCACCTGAAAACAATTCTCATATCTTTTTAGAAAGATTTTTTCCCGATTGCAAATGTTTACTTTAATAGGTAACGTCAACCAATACTTATTACGGTTCCGTTATTTTCCTATTCCTTTATGGACACCCGTACATACAAGCAAAGCGAGACACGTTAGGGCTTCGAATTAATATTTTCTTGATCATATTATGATAAGCTCAGGTAACTACCTAACGTTACACTGAATTGGTGTTAATTGAAAACTCATTAACTCGTTTGATACTGGAATTAAGAATCACTTGTATTCCATTTTAAATGTTTGATAGACTATTCCTGTCAAAAACCTTGAATAGATCATCCAGAAGATTAGCGGACTGAAGGTTTGAGTCCAGAAACTGCCCGGTATATATTATTGCACGTTACAGTAGTTTTAAGTTATGTACTTAGTATATTGTGAGACGAAGCTACCATCCTGGAAAGATTAAAACTTTACTTTTTGTTAGAAAGTAGACCCCAACGAATAATCATTCTGTTAATTCCTCTCGACAATGTCTGAGACTATATAAAATGGCTCAAATGATTGTAGATAGAATATCTTTTACTTAACGAGCTTTCGAATCTGAAAGTAATGGATCACCGATGCCCCCAGGTTATATATGAGACACCTGTACTCTAATAGGAAAGGATACAGTGCTTAAAAGAGGTCTTCATAAGGTTTATCATCGTCATCTAAAATAATGACTCAAGCGACACCGAGAAAGAGCATTTATATAGATTAGGAATAGAAAAGGACCCAATACTGAACCCTGAGGGACTCCAATAAGACATTCTGTAGCCTGGGTAAAAATAAAGTCTAACCTGACCTTAGGAATGGAGTAATCTAATCTACTGCGGGTGACTTGACCAGTATAAACTTATTGGTGAGACATATATGACTGAACCTTTCGAAAGCTTTTGATAATAGAAGGTATATCACACCAACCTTCCACTTAAGATCAACGATGATTATTTATCTGTTCACCTCAAGTTGTATATACATGAGTACTCCTACATTAAACCGTATTGCTTCAGTGAAAATATTTTTATGGCCAACAAGCAGTCGAAAGACCTTAGCATATCAAGGACGCCATAACTTTTGAGGACAGTGAAAATGCTACCAGCTGGTACCTTGAAGGTTCACTTGAAGATTGGTGTGATAGGCAACAGCTTCCAGCTATCCAGGACAGTTCCGTGGTTTACCAAACGTGAAAAAACAACTACTTTCGAAATACAGACAAGTTTACATCAAAAAAACCCTAGTCAAGACACAACTAGCATACTTAGTCATTTATGCGGAAGTTAACAAAGTTCTTACTTCACCACTTGCTGCTAGCAGGTTGGGAAGCCGACTGAGTAAACTACTTGATTCTGAATTCTCGCTGTTCTGCGAACTGATAACACAACCAGTTGTTTGGGGTTCTTCGGAACTAGCATTACTCCTGAATGGTCGACGTCATAACATTGACACTTACTGGTCTTTATTTCCTCCCCCAAGTACTTCCGCACTGTCACCAGAAGCTGGTTCAGTCAGATTGCTGAAATTTAATAGATAGAAGGATTAAAACACCACAGCTTACTTCACTAGATCTACAACACTTTTAAAATATCCTTTTAACATGTTCTAATGTATAACAGCTGTTTTTTAGTAGTAATTGAAGTGGACCATCACACCAAATGACGCGGTGACGAAATTTCCTCGAAAACAGCACAAGATCTGTGAGAAATTAATAATTTGGAATAAAGATGTAAGGTAACGTAAAAATAAACTGGTAGGATTTTTAAACACACGCCAAGGCTAGTGTTTTAAAGCCAATAATTTCAGTGATGGAGTGAGGTAGCTCTTCCAATTGGTTTATCGTTACAAGGTCCCCGGAACCAAATTACACTGATGCAGAACTCACAATAACCAATCCCCTTCAACTTCCATCAGCATTTCAACTCAGTCGGCCACTATGAAAGGCTGAAAGGAACAATCAAATAACCAGTAATCAAAATAATGAGACATTCATGGGCATACTAACTTAAATGATTTTGAAAAACAGCCGCAATTTTTAAAGTGGACTGGTGTTGATATGTTTTTTGCGTTTCTACTTTGCTAATCTACCTATACCCAAGACATCTCTAGAGTTACTTAGATTAATTTCACTTCAGCTGTCAGTAGAGGAGATTTTCGCCTAGAATCCATTACCTTTCACACGAAGTAGGATTAACTTATTGATTTCCTTGCTCTTCCAGTATCCAATACCTTTTTCACGAGCTAGTGTAAAACAGTTGATTTCTTTGCTCTCGATTCTTGTTCTTACGGTACGGTTCCAGGTGTTCGGTTGCTTCTTGCTGTTTCAGTGTGCTTTCAGTTATGTGTTAGTGTCCGATTGGTATCTTTCAAGAGCTGAACCCCAACAAAGTTCCTGGTAAATTTTACATGTTACAGCTAATTTAAGTTTCACAATGTCGCATTCGTGTGCTAGTTCATACGACTTACTGATCAGAAACAGTCAGATCTGATTCGAGGTAAAACACTATTTCTGTAAGTCGACCGAAACAGATACAAATTGTGTTGTAAGGAAATTTAACAGTGGTGTCATATTCCCACTCTTTTTAAGTATAATCATGATCAGCTTTCGCAGTCAGTGATGCTAGGTAGCACAAGCAGATGTAGGTCCACCTTCTGAGATGGACATGTGGTTGATGACAGCCTAAAATTTGGGATGATGGGACTTGACTGTCTTTATGAAAAATACCTGTTGAGAGCTACGTGAGGACACCTGCATTTAGTGATTCGTAAATGCTTAGTGGGAAGATTCAGTCATTAAACAATTTATCGTTAAGAGTAAAACTAACGGATGGAAAGCAAAATGCATTTACAGACAGGACGTCACCTTTCGATTGCTTCAAATATGAAATGTTTCTGCCTTGTGATTTTTGACCTTCAACTGTTATTCATACGTGGTTATATAATCTACAAAATGGCAGCTTTCAGCACAAAGAAGTTGAGTTAGATCTAGTCGTTGTTGGAACATTACAAATACAAAGTAAACAACATACCATATGTATCTAGTCTACATTTTCCGTCTGAGTGCACCACATGCATCGGATTCCAATTCAGAGTCATCTGGCGCATATTTACGTTCAAATAACAGGTGTAGTTGTTGACTGTAAGTAAATCACAATGATAAAAAGATCTCCACCTCTTCAACATTGATGACGACCTCATAGGTTTACTGGACACATTCTAGCTGAAGGCTGTTAATCACTCATACGCACCCTACCATTGTTTGGTATGACGTGCTACGCGCCCTTTACAACTACCAACCAATTTAGATCGCATGCTCCTCAACACTGATTATATATAAAACACACCAATGGTTTGACTGCGTCTGAGACACTAGATTAAAGGGGTGTAGATTATGCCTTCTAAGATTACCAGTGATTTTTCCGAAACTTGTTTCACCCAAAAGAGTCATCTACAGACGTGAAGACCTGATAGACTGACATGGGTCTGACTGAATATTTCCCATTATTGAATTACATTACGGCTCTACAACAGTGATGCTTTTTCGGAAAATATTTTCTATGCAATTCACTACAATAAGGGTGAAGCGGTCTAGTTTCATACCGAAACAACTTCGTAAACAAAGTGATTGTAATTTTCAATGAAGAACACCAGAACACCAGTGTTCGAGATTTGTTAAGTTTCAGAACACTATGATCGATAAAAAATGAAATTCATAATCTCTGAACCACTATCAACTATCTTCTAATACCTAATTATGATCATCTATAGCAAACTTTGAAGGAACTGCAGGGAACCGTGTAGGCTCAATAGGCAAAAAACGACTGTTAAAATAAAGATTTCGTAAGTTCACCATTCGCCACTTTTTGACGATAGCATTATTTAGTGGATGGAGACAGCTTTTATACATCATCAATTAGAGGAAAATCTTTGCTATCCCGTTGATATTCAAAAATGACTGCAACGATTATTCACAAGAGCGAATCTCCAATCTACAGACTGTAAACGGAAGAAACAGTGGGACTGGCCAGGAGAGAAGCCCATATTGAGATAGATTTCGGAATCATCCGGACATCAGCATCCCACGATCGTCTCATTCGCATACGTTTCCCAAAAAGATGACCAATTAGTGACTACTGCTGACTTGAATAAATGCCGTATGTAATTTTGACCAGTAGCCTTGCTTCCACGACCTGCTAGCCACCTTGAAATTTGAGCTGTCTTTTAGAAAATCTACTTGGCCTAAACTAATAGCCGAGTTCACAAAGCTGTCCACAACATCTCTGAAACAATTACTGTCAGTAGTTTCGGACTCTGTGAGTTTACGCATTTCAGTTTAAGAAATGCTGTAGATGAATTTTCTACCCTAGCAGTTCACTTTGATTCCAGTAGCTGTACGTCGAACGCGCTAACCCCCGATCCAATATCAAAGCACAACAATTCTGGGAGAAAGCGGTCTATCTTTATAATAAAATGGAAATACAAACAATTACCTGACAATTAATACACCTTCCAAGTCCAAATTACCCTGATGGGTATCCGAATCCAAAAGAATAAGTGATAGTATTAACTGCCACGGTATCAAATCCAAATATGGCTGTAGCCATATTAATTATCGAATTTAAACAACATGTGTACAGTTCGGAAGCAAACATAAAAACTTCAATATAAGTACGAAATATGGAAATAATAACAATATACAATGATAAAATCTCAAAATGGAATCAAATAGAGTACCAAAATGTCAACAGAAACAGTCAGTCATATCATAACACAAATATATATACATGGAGGGATTTTCCAAAAAACAAAACATTCAAAAAAGATTCTACAATGCTGATCGTAATTCTCGGGGATTCATCGAAAGAACATGAACATGCTTATGCCTAAAAACCTAACCTAGTCTCTTGACGAATTTCTTAACGTGGCACTATATTTAACATTAAGAAATCCCTTAACTTTCCCTGACATACTGTTGACGTCTACACCGGCCCGCAAAATCCCTCCATGCAAAAGACAAGCGCTTACTGACACTTCAATTTAGGGTTAACTCTTATCCCCTAATCCACACCGGAAGAACGAGTAGGACTTACAGCAGTACGCCTACCCGTCCTCCAACATGGATATGACCTATCAAGCTAACTAGGTACCTGTACCTTCCCATCAGGCCCTTGATTCCCCTATCTATCGTAGCATGACCTAACGGTATTATAAACCTTATCCAATTAACCCATATGAACATGTACAACACGTCGTAAAGCTGGTCATATTCTATCCGGGACTTACATTCCATATCATGTTGATGAGTCGTCAATCCACCACCACTTGCTCCGAACGGCAGTTACAGTGAAGTCCGTGATGCTGACTTATAAACAGAAGTTCTTGACCCATAGATAATATGCAAGGGTGGGATCTCCAATTTTGACATCCCCTCATCTCCCGAAGACTTTAAGTGGCATAACATGGGACCAATGTCTAACTCTCCATCTCCTGATACAGAGGAGGTTTGATCAGCATTCGTTATCGTCGGCAACTCATTTGTCACATCAGTAACATCCAGATTATAATCATCGTCATCATGATTCCGTTGTGTCAGACAAGTCGCGTCGTTTCTGGCTGCACTAGCATCCGTAGAGTAAAACTCTTCCACTGTTGTATAACGCATCTCGATACATGAAAGAACAACATTAGTATCGCAATTCAGAACCTATAAACTCACTTGTTGTTCTTCATGTTCCGTTTCAGAGACACAAGACATATGAACATCAATAGCATCGTTATCATGCAACACTGTAGATTGGATTTACCATCAGACGCTTCCTTCTCATCATCACTTGACTGACAGTCAACCGAAGTAGGAACACTTACAGTTACACAACCTTGTGTATCCTCAATTAACTTAACATTCGCGGCAGGGTCCGATGACGTCAAAACATTAGAAGGCTCATTCGATTAAGTTGATCGACTAGTCACTATAGGTGAACTGCTCACACTTTCCGTCTCTTTACTATCGCTGTCACTACTAAGATTCTGATGACTACTATTTCCATTGCTAGTCAAAGCATCCGTATGCACGAAGTTCTACGTTACAACTGACAGACTGATCGTCCACTTATCATTAACAGAATGGTGTCATCTTGTGTTGTGTCTGTGATACGTTGACTTATTGATCATGGAATAACCAAGAGATTGTAGCTGCTACCTTGACGTGGTGGTCGTGATGACCCAACCGAGCTATACTGGCTGGAACATATGTTCCTCAAGGTTCTACCATGCTGGGCAGATCGATTGAAGAATGATGAGAATAAAAGCAGCTACTCAAGGTGTGAAGGCGAAGTCGTACTGCTGACTGCAGAGAGGTGTGACAGCAGTAAGATGATTCCCTCGGACAACCAGCATCTGCACCGATGCTGCCTTCTCACAAGGAAGGAATGGTTAGAAAAGGTCGGCCCTACCTCACGGATTTCCGTCTCCTTGGGTAAGGGTGCCCACTAAGGGCTTTCAAGAGTGGAGCTAACATTCAAAAATCGTTTCTTAAAAAAGCCGTGCATGACCGGCCTCAAGCAGTTGTCCCTTGGACTCTGCGGTCATGCTCTCAGGTCTCC